CTGCGCTGATAGCAAACCTACAGACCCCTTCGCGCTGTGAAAAAACGCGACGGGAGGTCGTTCACTGTTTTCGGCCTCTATGGGCTCTTCCCGGGCCTCGGGACCGTCAAGAAATGAGTCAGGATGAGAAACGGGTCCCCGGAAAGGGGTCCAGACCTCTGGGGCCGACGCTGCAACATAAATCACGACGTCGGGGGTCTGGGTAGTTGCCTGCCGCTGCGCAAGATGGTGGAGAGGACGACCAAAGAGTCTCAATGACAACGGCGATGAGGCCCACGAGAAGGCGCCCATAACCACATCTGGTGATCGTCCCCCGCTGCTGCGTGTAGCCCCCGGGGCAGTTCGGAATCGCCATCCTACATTAGGTTTTGTTTCAATTCGCACTCGAGGGTCGAGGAGGGAGGCATTGGGCTGCTGGAACCTTGGCGGCCTCCCAAAGCAGACAGGGTCGGAGAACCGCACCGCGTCGCCAGTGGACCAACGATGCACAGGCGACGTCGGCGACGCGGCGCCATCTCCGATCTCATCTGCTGTGGCCCCATTGGGACAGCCTGGACAGGATACCCGTCGGTCGGACAAAAAAGTAGGGCAGACACATGAAGTAGGAAGGCTTCAAAAGTAGATCGGGTTCCGTCCGCGCCCTGAGGAGGACGGAAAAAGGTGAAGCCACTCGATCATTGAAGTAGGAAGGCGCTTAACGTAGATGGAATCTGGGAATACAACCATACCTGCTTTCAAAGACCGATGGGTATCAGCGCTTTCTGCCCTTAAGGGGCCTCAGGAGGTCTCCAAGGATCTATGAGGACGACCAGGGGTTGGACCGCCGACGTCGTGATTCTGCCACGGCATGGACCCCCCTGACGCTTGTGGGCCCGTCCCCTATAGGACTGGCTTTGCGCCCCGAATCGTTTATGGAAGGCCCTGAGCCCCCGTAAGGGCCCGCACGAATCCGAAAAGTGCCGATACTAGAGGCCTCCTCGATGGGGTCGGACTAGATGGGGTCGGAGGATCGCGCCGCATCGCCCAGACATCGGCGATGTATCGGCGACACACTGGCGATGCATCGCCGATGCGCCGGCGATGCCTCGTCGCTTCGATTCATCCGCCTCGCCGGCGTGAAGCACATCGGGCCCCGCATCGGCGATGCACCGGCGATGCGGTGCGATCCTCCGACCCCATCTGCTCCGACCCCCGACGTCATGATTTTTCATATCGTCGACCCCTGGAGGTCTCGACCCATTCCCCTGGACCGGGTCTTCGTCCCGAGTCGTTTCTTGACGGTCCTGAGGGCCAGCAAGGGCCCCCCAGAGGCCGAACATACCAAAAAAACCTCCCGTCGTGATTCTTCTATTGCCCGAGGGGGTCTAGGTCCTCTGACCCCATCTACTCCGACCCCATCTAGGATTAGGTCGGGCATGGGATGAACAATAACAAATCACTGAAGATGCTCAAACATACTCCGAAGTAGGCGAACCCAGACAATTTTGTTTTGACTATTCTTGAGTATTCCACCTGCAGAGGGACAAGCCCGACTGAGGCCTAGAGATACCGCTCGTCGTGCTCTGGGGGGGGGGGGGGGCTCTTCGGGGGGAGGGGGAGAGGGGAGGAGGAGGAGGAGGAGGAGGAGGAGGAGGAGGAGGAGGAGGAGGAGGAGGAGGAGGAGGAGGAGGAGGAGGAGGAGGAGGAAGGGGGAGGACGAGGAGGAGGAGGAGGAGGAGGAGGAGGAGGAGGAGCAGGTTTCCCCTGGGGCCCTATAGCGACCCGAGGAGGAGGATATGAGGAGGGGAGGAGGAGGCGGGGGGGAGGGGAGGGGAGGAGGAGGAGGAGGAGGAGGAGGAGGAGGAGGAGGAGGAGGAGGTAGGGGAGGGGGAGGAGTAGGGGGAGGGGGAGGAGGGGGAGGAGGGAGGAGGAGGAGGAGGAGGAGGAGGAGGAGGAGGAGGAGGAGGAGGAGGAGGAGGAGGGGGAGGGGGAAGAGGAAGATGAGGAGGAATCTTCAAAAAGGGGGCTCTCGCCCGAATGGCAGGGGCATGGGGCGCTCGTCGCTCGCCGCGACGATGGCTGGGCTCTTGGGAGCCTCCGGCGGCCGTGCTGTGACTCTTCTCGGGCGCCCTCGGCGAGGCGGCGCGGCTGCTGGGCAAAAGCCCTCCCGGGGCGGGCGAACTCCTGGGAGTCCCACCAGCCCTCCGGGCGTAGGTGGTTTAGGGAGGTTCCTCGTCCGCCCCCCTTCTCCTCGCTCGGGAAGGTGTTTACCCCTCCTCCCTGCTTTGGAGTCCCGAAAGGGTGCAGTGACAGACCGTGCGGTGACCTCGACTTCCCCCAAGACCTCACCGCACGGTCCGTCACTGCACGGTCTTGGGACCCGAGAGGCCCCTGTCGCCCGAGACGTCCTGGGAGAACGACCCGAGTACCAAAACCGTGCGGCGACCCCGAATCCCCACCGACTCACCGCACGGTGTGGTCACCACCCCGTTTGGGGGCCCCCGACCTACCCCCTCCCCTGGGCCTGGACGGGGGGTTCCAGGGGCGGGCGACCTCCCGGGAAGTTTTTCGGAACCGATCTCACGCGTTCGATCACGGGCCCCTCGCCTGATGTTGCTCCCATCGTACTTAAGGACCACATCCCAGAAATAATCCCGAGCAACTCAAGAAGCATCGAAACGGTGTCGAGCGAATATCGCCTCCCAGGGTCTGGGTGCTCGAAAGTCCGAACCCTCGCAACGCATCTTGGCCTCTGAAGACCGCCAGCCAGCGCGCGCCCCGCCGGGGGCGCTGGGGCCCCACGCGGTCTGCGGCGGTCTTCGGCGGTCTTGCGGCGGTCTTGCGGCGGTCTTCGGCGGTCTTTCGGCGGTCTTTCGGCGGTCTTCGGCGGTCTTCGGCAGTCTTTCGTCGGTCTTTCGGCGGTCTTCGGCGGTCTTCGGCGGTGTTCGGCGGTCTTCGGCGGCCTTGCGGCGGTCTTCGGCAGTCTTTCGGCGGTCTTTCGTCGGTCTTTCGTCGGTCTTCGGCGGTCTTCGGCGGAGGGCCGACACGGTCTTCGGCGGTCATCGGAGTAAAGGCCGGAGATGCGCGTTGACAGAGGTCCAAGCACGACACTCAAAAAACAACCCTAACCTCGAACGGCACCGCGCGCGAGGAGCAGGCAGGTGGGGGGTCCTCCAAGGTGTCGGGTTCCGGGGCCCTCGGCGGCAGCGGCACAGTGCCACCGAGCCTCCTCTCCTCCGCCATCGTGGCGTTGCCGTCGGCCTGGATGACCGCCTCCTCCTCTTCCCTCTCCTCCTGTGAGAGTTTGAAGAAAGAGCCAGTGATATCCTTGCGGCAGAAGGCCCTCAACAGCTTTACGCTCTGGCGGCGAGAGGGGCATGGACGGAGGCACCTAGAATGATCATGGAGACGACGGGACGCAACGGGCGACACTGGCGCCCCACCGATACCAGGTCTGGCGATCCCCGCACTCGGCTTCCTAGAAACATGTCATAGGACCCTTCAAGCTGCTTTGGGAATCAATGAAAAACCAGGGCAAGATCCCGCCGCCGGGTCACGTTCACAGACATGCGACGTCTTGACTGTTTCAATACGGGGTCCCTGGAAATCCTGACCCTTTCCCCAGGACCGGTGTTTCATCCGGAATGGGTTTTTAACGGTCCCGAGGCCCGGCGAGGGCCCCCCGAGGCCGAAAACGGCCAAAAACTTCCCGTTCTGATTTGTTTCACGGCGCGATCATGTCTTGGTAACTTCCGTGCGCAATGCGCAACGCGCGATTATCTTCGCGCCCCCGCGCGGCCCCCTGTGAGAAGACCAGCTCGCCCCCCCGAGCAGCGACGCGAAGCGTGGTTTTGTCTTCGCGCCCATGGGTGTGGCCTAGCTCTCGTGTCGACACACGCGTGGTGTCTGGCACCGCGTGCATCGTTCCATCTTGGACATCGCAGCTCTCCGATGGCGCAGATCGCTCGGTGGCGGCACGTTCCGGGACACGAGATCGTTTTTCCCAACCCTCCATTGGTTGGGCTCTCGTTCTGAACAGAGCCGCGTGGGCCCCACGTCCTTCCTTCCTCCCGCCCTCCTCCCTCCTCCTCGCCATTCCCTCTCCTCGCCTCAGCCCCCCTTCCCTCCTCTTCCTTCCCTCATTCCCTCCTTCTCCCCCTTCCCTCCTCACTCCTCGCCTCTCTTGCCTGTTCAGTCGTCCACTCCCTCGTCGAGCCCTCGCGGCCCTGCGGGGATGCGAAACGCGCAGCTGTCGCCATTTTCGTGGGCTGCTGGGAGGTCCAGCGGAGTGGAGGCCCACGCAGATCTGCCGAGACCACGCGGTTACCTTCGGGTTTGCGAACCGCGCAACTGTCGCCATTGTCGCGGGCTCCTGTGAGGTCCAGCGGAGTGGAGGTCCACGCAGATCGGCCGAGACCTCGCGGCTCGTTGGTTTGCGAACCACATCTGTCGCAATTCTCAGGGCGACCTGGGAGGTCCAGCGGAGTGGAGGTCCCCGCAGATCTGATCTGCCGAGACCTCGCAGCTTCCTGCGGGTTTGCGAACCACATCTGTCACCAATTTCTGGGCGATCTGGGATGTCCAGCGGAATGGAAGTCCACGCAGATCTGCCGAGACCTCGCGGCTCCCAGCGGAGCTGCGAACCGCGCAACTGTCGTCACTTTCGTGGGCTCCTGGGAGGTCCAGCGGAGTGGAGGTCCACGCAGACCCAGCCGAGACCTTGCGGGCCCTGGAGGGGTGCGAACCGCGCAACTGTCGCCCGTTTCGTGCGCTTCTGGGAGGTCCTGCAGAATGGAGGGCCCCGCAGATCTGCCGCGACCTCGCGGCTTCCTGCGGGGTTGCGAACCGCGCGTCTGTCGTGGGCTCCTGGGAGGTCCAGCGGGGTTGACGCAGATCTGCCGAGACCTCGCGGCCACCTGCGGGTTTGCAAACCACATCTGTCGCCAATGTTTGGGCGACCTGGGAGGTCCAGCGGAGTGGAGGTCCACGCGGATCTGCCGAGACCTCGTGGGCCCTGGCGGGCTGCGAACCGCGCAATTGTCGCCATTTTCGTGGGCTGCTGGGAGGTCCAGCGGGGTGAAGGACCACGCAGATCTGCCGAGACCTCGCGGCCCCCTGCGGGGTTGCGAACCGCACATATGTCGCCAGGTTCGTGGGCTTCCTGGGAGGTCCAGCGGAGTGGAGGACCACGCAGATCTGCCGAGACCTCGCGGCTCCCTGCGGGTTTGCGAACCGCGCAATTGTCGCCATTTTCGGGGGGGTCCTGGGAGGTCCAGCGGAGTGAAGCCGAGATGTCGCGGCCCCCTGCGGGATTGTGAACCGCACACATGTCGCCATGTTCGTGGGCTTCCTGGGAGGTCCAGTGGAGTGGAGGACCACGCAGATCTGCCGAGACCTCGCGGCTCCCTGCGGGTTTGCGAACCGCGCAATTGTCGCCATTTTCGGGGGGGTCCTGGGAAATCCACGCAGACCAATCCGAGACCTTGCGGGCCCTAGGGGGCTGCGAACCGCGTAACTGTCGCCCATGTCGTGGGCTCCTGGGAGGTCCAGCGGACTGGAGGTCCACGCGGACCCAACCTAGACCATCTGGTTCCCCGGGGGGGCTGCGAATTGCGCGTCTTTCATCATGCCCGTTTGTGCTGAGCATTCCTTGATATAGCTTCCCCGTGTTAGGAAAGGGTTGGGTACATCACGGTGGAACTGGATTAACTGTGGGTAGCGCGTGTTACCCCGGGGGGAGGGAGCGTTGGCGGGGGGGGGGAGTAGTGTTAACGGCGGCCGCGGCGCACACCCGCCAGGGTGAGTCCGAGCCGCCGGCACATCAGCCGCCTGTGTGCACCACACACAGTTCCTGTGTACACGGCAATGCCAAACTCCTGCGTGCCAATCGCTCTGTACACGACACTGCCCAATGCCTGCGTGCAACACAGCGCCACCTGCGCACACCATAGTTCTACACCACAGCAGCCGCGCGCACCACAGCACCACGTCGCCTGTTTCCACCACAGTGCCTGTGTACCCTGCAGCGGCCGCGTGCGCAACAGCGCATTTGTACACCACAGTGCCTGCGTACACCAGAATGCTTGTGTATACCACAGCGCCTGTGCACACCACGTGAGAGGAGGGAAGTCGGAGGACTGGCGCGGGAAGGGTGGGGGGGATTTGGGAGGAGGTGGGAGGAGGTCGGGCGAAGTGAGGCAGGGAGGGAGACCCAAGAGGACGACAGAGGAGGTAGGGGGACGCGGGAGGACTCGGGCGGGGGAGGTGGGAGGAGGTTGGAGGACGTGGGAGGTGGCAGGACTCGGGAGGACGAGGGAGGAGGTGGGAGAATTCGAAGACGTGGGAAGAGGTGGGGAGAGGCGGGGGCCAGTTGGGAGCAGGCGGGAGAGGAAGGAAAGGGATGATGGAGGTGGGGGAAGGTAGGAGGTCGTGGAGCGTCCGCTGTACGGCAGGCCCGTGTCGTGACGCCGTGGAAATTGGTTTCGAACACCGCGTGGATCGGTCAATCTTGAACGATCTGCGCAGCCAGAAGCTCTCGGCCCAACATTCGACCATCATTTCGCACCGCGGGTTCGTGTCTGAGAATCCTGGAGCCCTGCAGGCACCCTCCCCTGAGCACGTCGCCCCCTTCCCACCTCCTACTCCCCTCTCCGCCTCCTCCTCATCATCCTGGCCCTCCATCCCGGATATCATTCTGCTGCACCGCAACGCTTGCGTACACCACAACGCCTGTGCACACCACATCAGCCGCGTGCGCTACAGCGCCTGTGTACACCACAGTGCTTCCGTGCTTCACAGCGCCTATGAACACCGCAACGCATGTGCACACTATCAGTAGCCATACGCACCGCAGCGTACGCGTACGGCAGAGTGCCTGCATGCACCATAGCGCCCGTGTGCACCGCAGTGCACTGGCCCTGCGTGCACGTCGATGCCTGCGTGCGCCGGAGCGCCTGTGTACTCCTTACAAAATCCTTTGGAAGCTGCAGAAATTCACGCTCGTGCCCGGTTTGCAAGCGTTTCGGCTAATGGGTGGGAGGGGGGAATCTGGCGGGGTGGGTAACACGCGTTAACCCCCGGGGTATTTAAAGAACGATCACCATCGGTGGCGTTCAGCGTTCAACCTTGACCACCCGCGCCGGGGTTGCAGCCGCGTCGACGCTACACGCACCTTCCGTACATGAGCGCAAACGTTCGGAAGTCCGCGCGGATTCTTTGGGTCGGCGCTGGAATTACTATGCACCCCTTCCCGACGTCAGGTGCGCCGAAGCGGGGGTGTTAGGGGGAGGGGGGTTAGCAGATCATGGCCCGAGGCATTTGCGCGGACGAATAGGAGGGGCCAAGGGGTGCCTGGAGAGAAGAAGGGGGGGCCATGAAATCAGGTATGAGATCCACCACTTCTAGTCCTCACCCCCGACCTTCCCGACCAGCGCCTCCAGAGCTCCGCGCGCCAGGGAATGGGCGTGGGGAGCGAACGGGACCCAACACCGACCCAAGAACTCCGCGAGAACCTCCATAACCTCCGTGTCTTGCGCGGTTTCTGTGATGTGCGCTCTGATCCTGCAGCTCGTCGATCTGCTCCTGGAGGTCCTTCTGCTTCTCCGAGGCGTAGTCCAGGACACCCTTCCTGGAGGAACAACAGATTGCATAGACATAAGTTCTGAGACCGGCGCGCGGATTTATTGGATCTGCGCCAGAGCCCGCTCCCTTGCGCGCGGAGCGCACCAGGGGCCGCGCCAGAGGCGCCTCCAGGGGGGCCCAGCGCCGATCCAAGAAATCCGCGCGGACCTCAGACAACTTATGTTTATGGCGTTGTCTGTTCTTCAGTTTCCTGCCGTTCCCAGCCAGTCAAGACTGGACGCGGAGACGTCGTGTCAATCTTGGTCACCGTCCATCGTCCATCTTCGTCCGCGTCAACTCTTTGATCATTCTCTCGGGGGCGGCCAAGAGGGGGCGTCCAAGAGGGGGGGGCGCAAATCATGGCCTGCGGCATGTGCTCCGCCCAAGGGGGGCCAGGGACGTAATGAGATAAGAAGAGGCGCCATGAAATGTGGGGAAATATCATGGCCCACTCCATGATATCCAACACCCCTAGTCATCACCCTCCTCTTTGCCGCTCTCACCCACCGATTCTCGTGAAACGGCGACGGTGATCATGGAGCACGGCTGAGATCGGCGTCGACAAGATCGCGCGACATCCTTGGTCATGGCCGACGTGCTCCGTCCGGCCTCCGCTCCCCGCGCGCCTCCCTCCTCTCTGCCCTCTCCCCCTGTGCCGCATTCGTGCGCCGCGTGCCCCACGCCATGCTTTGACCGCGCCTTGGCCCCAAGCCGTCGCGGACAGAGCAAAACCAGACCCCCGACGGGCCCCGACGTCGTGACTCTTTTTCACAGCGTCAACCCCCAGAGGTCCGGACCCCTTTCTGACCTTACTGAGGCCCGAACGGGCCCCCAGAGGCCAGAAATTGAGCAAAACCTCCTGGCCGTCGCGATTGCTTCACAGCATGGCGGTCACGAGGGCTGGGAAGGGCCCCCGGAGGCCAAGAATAGCGCAACCCCCCCCGCCGTCGTGATTTTTCAACAACGCGAAGGGAGTCTGGAAAGTGTGCTTCCTCCATCGCCATGCTTTGACCGCGTCTCGGCTCCAAGTCGCCACCGACAGAACTCAAAGTGTGAGGAGGGGAAGGAGAAGGAGGAGGAAGAGAAGGAGGAGGAGGAGGAGGAGGAGGAGCAATTCGCTGGAATTCGCTGATCCAAATTTGCAAATGGTGGCAGGGGGAGGAGGAGGAGGAGGAGGAGGAGGAGGAGGAGGAGGAGGAGAGGAGGAGGAGGAGGAGGAGGAGGAGGGAGACGAGGAGGAGGAGGAGGAGAGGGCGGAGGAGGGAGGAGGGAGGAGGAGGAAGAGGAGGAGGAGGAGGAGGAGGAGGAGGAGGAGGAGGAGGAGGAGGAGAAGGAGGAGGAGGAGGAGGAGAGAGGAGGAGGAGGAGGAGAAGAGAGGAGGAGGACGAGGACGAGGACGAGGACGAGGAGGAGGAGGAGGAGGAGGAGGAGGAGGGAGGAGGAGGAGGAGGAGGAGGTGGAGGAGGAGGGAGTGCAGTCGCCGTTCTGAGGACTACCGAGCGCAAGCCGTGGTTGTATCGGACCCGTGGGCCTATCTCGGCCCTTCTTCTCTGGCTGGAAGTCGGTGGATGGCGCTGGGAAGGGCCTGCTACGTTTGTAAGCCAGTCAGGATTCAAATGGATCCTGACGGAAAGGCCACCGTCACAAATTGCTGATGCTTTTACTAGTGATCTGAGGAATGAGCTGCTTAAGCGATTTGTCCACAAACATCTGTCGGACTGCCCTGGAGACTGTGAGATCAAAACCAGGGGCTTGTGGCTCCCCCTCATCCAGAGATTTGCCAAATCTTTAACTCCTCAGCAGTTGCATGTCTACTGCCAAGTTTTGTCAGGCACTGTTCCGACTGGGGCCTCCTTGAAACATTGGGGGTATGAAGTTTCGGACAAGTGCACGTGCGGTCGTGTAGATACAAGCTGGCACCGCTTCTGGACCTGCAGCAACCCTGAGGCTGTACGTGCTCGGCAGGAGCATTTCAGCCAGGAGGTGGTCGACCAGGCCATTGCTGCAGGGCCTGAAAATTCGCTGCTATCAAAACTGTGGGTCCCGTGGCCCGACTTGCCCAGTCCCGTGGAGGACTGGATGCTTCAGTTCTTCGATGCGAATGGTGACTCATGTCCTCCTTTCTTCTTTCAGCCGTCTGATAAGATATTTACAGATGGATCCGCCTTCCATGGAGATAAGGTGGAGGTTGCGAAGGGGGGGTGTCTGTTGTTCACATGGAAGGCGAGGTCTGCAGACGTGGTGTATGGGCTGCGCTTTCCCGTGAGTTTGCACAGCAAGCGGCGGATGCAGAGCATGCTGCACTTGCCCTTAGTGTCCTGCGCCGTGACACCACGCCCGAGCCTTGTGAGCCTGTAAATGTGGACTGTGCTAGTCTGTTTGCGGGAACAAGAAATCCCAGCAAGGCCCTTGATGGGGCCAGCCGTCTGAGTTTCTTTTGGCGCGAGGTAGCTCGAAAGGTAACTGCGAGTCCTGAGCAAGACTGGCCTCGTCTCAATAAGATCACGGCGCATCGGAGCATGAGCTCAGCTGTGGATGATGCTGACAGGGCCGTGATTGCTGGATCGATTGCTGCTGACTCCTGGGCGAAGAAGGGATCTCAGGCACATGACCTCAGCCCAGGTGAACTAGACAATTTCAAGCAGGGCGAAGACGAGTACACGTCGCTCGCCATAGGTTTGATGTCGGTTTTGCTTGTGTGGCCTCCTTTCGAGCAACAATATAAGGATATTAAGCGCCCATCCCAGGTCAAAGCACCCAAGCCAAAATCTCTCCATGACCCTGTGCCGCACGGCTCGGGGCTTCGCTGTCAGAGATGCTTGAGGATGGTGAATGCCGACACTACTAGTATCTGCTCCGAGCCCAATCCCACTCTGTTGGTGCTCCTGAGGGGGTGTGCGGGGCCCCACCATAAGCTCCATTGGGCTCGGGTTGCAGAGACCGATGTTCCTGTATTTTTTTTGTGTTGCGTGTGGCCACTTCGCCAGTGTCAAAGCGAATAGGCTTTTGAAACAGTGCGAACCCCCTCACAGGAGCTCCGAGAGGGCCAAATTGTTGAGGGGACGTCTTCCTGGGACCAATTATACCCTGGGGCAGTCCTTTCCACTTTCCTCTCTGCCCTTTTTCCCCTTCCTCCCCCCGCCCCTCCCCCTCCTCCTCCACCGCCCCAGGGAGGCCCAGGTTCAGCAGCTGCCGCGGCCAGCAGCTCGCAGGCGGGCAGCTCGCAGGCGAGGACCAGGGGGGGGGAGGACAGTGTGCCTTCTCTCCCTCCGATCGGTGCTCGAAGTCAATCGGATACCGATTGAGCTTGTTGCAGTGTGCCGCTTGAGCCTAGCTTGAACAGGCACTCTGAGATCCGAGAGGTCCGAGAGTGGAGGAGGAGGGAGGAGGATGAGGAGGGGGAGGAGAAGTTGAGGAGGAGGAGGAGGAGGAGTGTTTCCTCCCTCGGCGTCCTGCCATTCTCGACCATCCAGGCGGGCGGCTCCTCCCCTGCGGCCTGCAGCTCGGCGGCCTTGCAGGCCGCCCAGCGGTTGCTCCACTTGTCGTTCTCGGCCGCCGCCCAGTCCATCCACTGGGGCACCTCCTTGCCCTCGCCGACCGGCCACGACCAGGGGAGCTGTGCTCCTCCCCCCCCTGAGGGGAGCCCCTGGTGTCGACGATCTCTCTCGAGGATCGGCGGCGAGCGAGGGGGGAAAAATGAGAGGGAGAGGGCCTCCTCAGAGGGCGGCGGCACCTCTCAGCAGGCCTCCGGCCTTCTGAGAGGTTCTCTGTGTCTCTGGGGAAGGCTTAGAAAACTTTTCAGAAGGCTGGGGGATCTCCGAACCTTCTGAGACGGCCTTCTCCTCCTCACTTCCCCCCCCCCTCGCTCGCCGCCGACTCGCCCCCCTGAGGGAGCCCATCTGATGGGTCGATTTTCCACCACCACTACCATGAGTAGGAGAGGGAGGCGGAGGAGGCGGAGGAGGAGAAGGAGGAGGACCTCCCCATCCTCCCTTCTCCCCCGTCCCACCTAGTGGTTGTGGTGGTGGAAAATCGGCCCATCACCGTGGTCTTGACGGTCTCTCGAGGAGGGCGTCGGAACCGGTGGGTCCGCCAGGAGGGTGGGGACCACGGCTCCCCCGGTCTGTGGCGCTCGTCTGCCTCGGCCCGGAGCCTCTTCGTCTCCGCGGCCGCCCACTTCATCTGGCCCCTTTCGAGCCGAGGCCAGGACAGGGACAAGCCCAGGCTGGGACAAAGCGGGGACCTGTGCGATACTCGGAGGAGGGAAAGGTACCCACACCACTACCCTTCCCTCGTTGTCGCCTGTTAGGGCCTCCTTTTGGAGGCCCTGGTCGCCACCGCTGGATTCGCCCCGTAGTCCTGGTCAGAACGCACCCCGGGAGAGGTCCGGGGGGTAGCGGCATACAACAGAACAGAAGGACCACCTAAGACAATCTGAAAACAATTGAGGAACACCGAGCCCCTCCCCAACGAAAAGGGTTCCTTCTTCAGCGGCCCGACTGGATCGGGCGCCACGGCCGTTCCAGAACGCTCCAGAACTTTGTGAGAGCGTTCCGGAACGCCCTGGGGCGACTTATCCTGGTCCTAGCTGCTCCGCCCGGCCTCTTCCGGTCGTCCTCCACGAGCTTGTCCATCCACTCGGGGACGCTCTCGTTCGCCGCCTGCAGATGCCGCACCTGGACCTTGCACCACTCCAGGGTGTCGTGTTGCAGGAGCCGCTCCTTCCTCTGCTTCCAGGTCAGCTCCGTCTCGTTCCTGCACCACTCTGGGGCGCCAGTCATCATCCCGTCCTCACCCTCCCCGAAGGTGTCCACGACGAACTGGCTGTGGGAGCTTCCGCTGGCGAAGGAAACTCCCTGGGCCAGTGCGGCGCCAGTCAGGAGGGCCGCCGTGCGCACCATGGCGGGTAGGTAAAGAAAGTGTTCGAGTGAATGCAGGCACAAGGTGCCGCGGGGTTCACGTCGCCAGAGTTTGGGATAGAACTGGCTGCGGGGAGGGATGCGGAAGAAGAGGACGACGATGAGAAACAGGAGCGTAGACGGTGGGTGGAAACGGGAGGACGCGGCAGAAAGACGAGGAGACGGAGGAGGAGGAGGCAGAAAAACGAGGAGCCGGAGGACAGGGGGAAGAAGCAGGAGGGACCCGAACAAAAAAGGAAATGAGGAGGAAGGTGGGGGAGGAGGAGGGCCAGGGCGAGAAGGTGGAGCGGTGGACGCGCCTGTTGGAGGAGATGGTGGGGGGAAGGGGGGGGGGCGAGGGCGGGGAGGCGGGGCGTGGCAGGGCCACGGGACAGGCGGACCGACAAGCGCAGAGGCAGGAGAGGGGTCTGACGGCCGGGGGCGGAAGCCGGGTGTGCGGGAGGGAGGCTCTCGGAGGCCCGCGCGGAGTGATCGGATCGGCCCGGGGGCCCCTCGCCCCTGGCGCGTCCCGCGCTCCGCGCGCCAGGGGGGGTCCAGCGCCGGCCCGAGAAGAGTCTGCGCGGAGCTCCGAAACGTCTGTGTGTGTGCAGCGCTGTCTCTTCCCCGCGGGCCTCGTGTTCCTTGGTGGCCCCCTCTGAAGGGCTGCCGCAGGCTGCCTCCGCGGGCGCGGCCGCTTGGCTGAGGCGCGCACAGGGCAGCTTTTAATACATAGGATGTTTAAACATATTGGACTTTTAATGCATGATGAATTTACGAATAAATCAATGCATGCATTCATCATTGCTTTGAATACTAAATCCCTTTATTTTTAATACATGATCCGCACGCGGAGCATGTATTAAAAACGGCACTGTAATGGCAGATCGTGACAAACAAAAACAAGCGGGGCGCGTGGTCAAAAACATGGTCCCTCCGTTCGGGCGAGTCGCGGGGGTGACGTCCGCCAACTGGAAACACACGGCGGCGGCGCCGGTGATAAGCGCCGACGCCCGGCCGACAGGGCGGAAACGGCTCCTCCTTCTTCTACCCCCGTCCTCCCCCATCCACTACAATGTCCCACGACGACGACGACGAGGGCGACGTCGACGAGGGAGACGGCGACGGCGACGGCGGACGACGACGCACTGCGGATGCTCCATGGAGAAAGGGCGGGGGTGCTGCGTATGTCCATTGTAGTCGACGACGACGACGACGACGACCCGACGACGTCGACAACGGCCACGGCCACGGCGACGGCGACGACGATGACGGACATCGACGCACTGCGGATGCCCCAGGGGCGGTGCTGCGCTGCGACTCCCGCTGCACTCGACGACGACGACGACGACGACGACGACGACGAGGACGGCGACAACGACGTCGACAACCAGACGACGACGACGCATTTCGGATGCACCATGGGAAGGGGGTGTTGCGGAGGTCCGCTGGAAACGACGACGACGACGACGACGACGACGACGAGAGCGACGATGACAACGAGACGACGGCGGCGACGACGACGCAATTCGGATGCACCATGGGGGGGTGCTGCGGAGTCCCGCTGCAAACGACGACGACGATAACGACGACAACGACGACGGCGACGGCGACGGCAGCGGCAACGACGACTGTGGCACGTCAGTAATTAACCTGAGACGAGAAAAACCAGCTCCTCGGGCGTGTACGATTCCGATAGCAACTTCTATACGGAGTGCAATTGTTTTGAGGCTGTCGTGCAGGGGGGTACGTACACGATCACCTCGGCGGCGCCCGAGACGACCCCCTCGCGCGCCTTGTTTAAAGACTGTGTTGCGCCCCGCGGGGTGTGTTCATCAGGCCCCGGTGGCGGGGGGGGGGCATTAGTTGTTAATCACAAGCTGACATGAAGGAAGGACACTAATCACAAACTCTTCTACGTGGAGAAGGCCACCCAGCAACCAAGAAATTGCCCAGCTTTGCGCAGACCGCCATCATCACAGGCGGCGCCGCCTTGCGAAGACGTGCAGCCTTACCGAAACAGCAGGGAAAGGGCGGACGAGGCGGGGGGGAACCTGCCCATGCCAAACGGACGCGTTCAGTGCTCGTGGGGTTCCCGATGTGGTCGCCCTCGTCGGCCGTCCGTCCGTCCGTCGGCCGTCATCCCTCGTTGGCCGACCGACGCCGCAGGCCCACGGGTCGTCGTCGCAAGCGGCGCGGAGGCCCCGCCTCCGCGCGAGCACCCCCCCCCCTTCGGCCGGGTCCTCGCTGCCCGCGTGCCCGAGGCTGCCGCGCCAGCCCGCGGCCGCGCAGGGATCCGCGCCCGTCTCGCGCTGCCGACCCTCGGGGGCGCACCGCGGCGGCGGCGGCGCCGGCGGCAGCGGCGACGGCGAAGACGGCGGCGGCGACGACGATGACGACGGCGGCGCAACGATGACGGCGGCGACGCCCGCGGCGGCAGCGACTCAGCATCTCAGCGACGGCGACTGTGGCACATCAGTAATCAACCTGAAAGGTGGGGGAATTTCGCCTCGGGTGTGTACGATGCCTATGCCAACTTGTACACGACAGGCGACAGCGGCGACTCAAGATCGAGGCTGGTTACTGTCGCCCCTTTTTTATCTGGGCCTCTTGAACCCTCCGGAGGAGGACCGGGCCGGGGGGGTCCTCCTCAACCTGATCCTTTGCGTCGTCCGCCTCCTCCTCCTCCTCCTCCTCCTCCTCCTCCTCCTCCTCCTCCTCCTCGCGCCTCCTTCTCGCCACTCTGCCCCGAGTGTTAGGGCCACCTGCGGCCGAAGCGGCCGTGAAAGCCCAACCCTCAAGACCCAGGCCTCAAAAGGACGTCACTGCGTCCTCGCTGCTCGCTCATTCTGGCTCGTCGCTCTTCCCCTCGCTCCTGCTCGCTCCTGCTCGCTCCTGCTCGCTCCTGCTCGCTCTTGCTTGCAATCCCTCCGCTGTACGCCTCGCAAATGAGCAAGCGCCCTTCGGGGTCGACCTCCCCGGCCGCGGGGGGCGCCCCCCCCCCCCCCCCGTCCCCAAAGATGCCACGAACAGCACCCACTCCGAGACTGCCAGACCCCCTCGCATCGCGAAAACAGCACTGAAGGGGCCCTGGGACACACAAATCCGCCGATCTGGCGTGTGAGTTTGAAAGAGCCTTAGATGTAGCCTCAGCTTCAGTTCCTGAGCTTCTGCTCTGCTGGGGGGTGGGTGCCGGGGTGGCTCTGCCGGGGTAGGGGAGTGGGGGGTGGGGGTGGGGGGGGGGACGCGCTGTGCTCCGTTTTCTGGGGGGGGGGGGTCGGGTCGTGGGAAACACAGCAGAGTGCCACCCCGGATGCCAGAGAGCCCAAGATTGCTGCAAGATATTTCGAAGACGGCCCAAGATGTACCCAGGACGGCCCAAGATGGCGTCATGACGGCCCAAGAGGCCTTCAAGAGGCCTCTAAGACGGCCCAAGACGTCTCCAAGAGTTCCCAAGAGGCCCGAAGAACGCCGAAAAGACCCCCCAAGAGGCCTCAAGAGCATTCCAACAGCACCCCCAAGAGGGGCTCATGAGGCCAACATCGTATTATTCCGATAGTTTTTGACGGATTTTGACATGCTCGCCTTTTCGGGTTTCCGACGCTCCAAGACAGCCCAAGAGGCCCCCAAGATCGCACCAAGACGGCCAAAGAGGATCCCAAGAGCGCCCCAAAACTGCGAAAGGAGCCCCAAGGCTACTCAAGAGGGCCCCAAGACGGCCCAAGAGGGCTCCAGGACTACCTCGGAGGCACCCAAGGCGCTCCGAGAGGGCCCCAAGACGGCCCCAACAGAAGCCCCAAAGCGGGAACCCGACCCAACACTTCGGGTCTTCCGGCGCAAGAGGCTCCAAAGAAAACCCACGAGGCCTCTCAGAGGCCCCCCAGGAGGCCTCAGGGGGACCCCAATAGGCCCCACTCCTCCTCCTCCCACCTCCTCTCTCCTCCTCCTGGTCCCTCCTCCGTCCTCCCTCCTCCTCCTCCTCCTCCTCCTCCTCCTCCTCTTCCTCCTGGGCAGTCTTGAAAGCCTCTTGGGGGCTGCTTAGGCCGTCTTGGGCCATCGTGCGGCAATCCCTCCCTCCACCTCCCTCCGCCTCATCCTCCACCTCCCCTTCCACCAACCAGATCGCATCGGGAGCGCCCCCAGATCGGCGGCACTGGCTGGAAGCCACTACAATGAATACACACAAATAACAGGATTCCCCATATGTTCCCATATGTTCTCGGTTTTTGTCTTCGCCCCCACTTCCCAATGTTTCCCATATTATCTGGAGGGTCGACGATTGATTGTATCTGTGTGTTTTTTCCCTCCTGAATCACGACGGGCAGGGTTTCGCCATTTTCGGTCTCCACCTGGGGACCGTCAAACAACGATGCAGGATGCAAAAGCGGTCCCCGGGAAGGGGTCCAGACTTCGGAGGGTCACGCCACGAAAAAGTCATGACGTCGAGGGCCTGGGGCACCTGAGTGCCCCAAAGGATGCCCCCCGCACCTGAGCACCGAGCCCCACGAGGACGCGACAGCATGACGATCCGGCGCGCAGCAGCAGGGCGCCCTGCGCCCTGCACCTGCGCGGTGCTCGCGCTCGCGCGCCCTCGGCCCAACTGCGTCGGAGCCTGGCCCTGGGCCCGGCGAGGGTGGGATCAGTGCGTGAGAGAAGGGCTCTGCAGCTGCCGCGCGCGGGAGCGAGGCTGTGGGCGCGGTGGGCGCTGGCGCCACAGTCGTCCTGTGCGCGGAGGACCATGCGAGGCTGGCTGGCGATGCCTTGCTCCAGCGGGGTGTGAGGAGTGAAGCACCGGGGCCCTGCACGATTGGAGCACCGAGCGCCGAATTCAGCACGTGCGAAACACCAACAGCGGCGGCAGCAGCCGATGTCGCCCGTCGGCCACATGTGGGGAGTGGCGTCGTGACCATCCCTCCTCCGAAACTGCTCACCAAGTGCTTGCACGAAGGAGCCCTTCATTAATTCGTTAGAAAAGTGGTCTGCCTTCAAAATTCTCGCCCCACTCG